TCGCCTTCAAAATAAAAGCATCTAAATAAAATTACATTTAAGACATACAACTGCAATGAAAGTAACAAAAACAATGTAATATCCTTTTCAGTTTCACACAACACAAATTGGGTTATTTACATAATATATGATTATATATATATATACATGATTTTGTTGTGCAATAAATGCAATCTCGATGTCATCGTACTATAATACGATGGCTACACGACGGCATTGCGAGGGCTTCACGTAGTCGTGTTGCCTTCCTAAGACAATCGGGCAGCTTCTTGTTTCCTTCGNCAAAAACAATGTAATATCCTTTTCAGTTTCACAGAACACAAATTGGGTTATCGAGATTGCATTTATTGCAGAACAAAATCATGTAAACATATTATGTAAATAACCCAATTTGTGTTCTGTGAAACTGAAAAGGATATTACATTGTTTTTGTTACTTTCATTGCAGTTGTATGTCTTAAATGTAATTTAACTTGTAAGTTAACTTCCTGTTTTAATGAGATGCTTTTATTTTGAAGGCGAGTTTACGCTGTTGACAGGAAGTTGTTGTTGATATCAAAACAACATGACTGAGATAAGTAATATCTTCTATAAAGAAGGAGAAAGTAAAGAATAAAGTGTATGTTTAAATGTTAGCACCCCCCGAAGAGGCACAAGCTCTTACGTTGAGTCTGGATACATTCTAAATCATCAGTAAAGTCTACAACCATATTTTCTTGTGTGGTTCGGGTGCCATCGTGTGGCCTTCTGTAGGCATCGCACTTGCTTCGGCTGTTGCTTGGCTGTTGACCAAGTTTGGGGCCATCTTCGTGCGAAATTCACAATTCCATATTCGTGTGTCCATCTGGTGTCAATTTTGGGACAGTGTGACAGGGGCTTTAAGAAGCATTAGCTATGGTTACACATATTGAATTAAATATATATAATATATTTCTTTATCACTATGTATCACGGTCAAAACCCTTTTAAAAAATGTGATCCATTTACTTTTTGTGTAAAATAAATGAAGACGCTTTAACTTCTCTTGATATAGGTGTGGGCGATATATATTGTATTTTCTTTTCAGCTTCTTTGCAGTGGCGATATAACTACATTTAAAGGTATACTCCACTTAAAATACAAATGTACCTCTTTTCAATGGCATGGCAATTTAGGAAAATATGTCTTACTGTAAGAAGAGCACAACTATTTAAAAAAATAGATTTTCACTATAGAACTAATAGTGTTCCTTGGCTCAGAATAGGATTGAAAATAATCAGGTGTCATCAGGTTTATCAGGTGTTGAGGCAGGTAGATTTCCCTTGTATGTGTGCTTTATGCTTGTAAGTATAGTGGTTGAACAAACCAAAATGTCTGTTTGTTCTTCACGGTTACAGTGGTTTGCAAACTCACTCCACGTCATGACAGAACGTAACAGAAAAACTGGTATAAAACCGAGCCCTATGTTGATATTTATTACACATTTACTGTCCATCTTGAACTAATCCTTAGAACTCTAGGTTTGGTCCATAGACTCCACTCTAAGAGTCTTGTATTGTTAAGATGTAAGGCCCCTATGGAGTAACTTTGTCATTGGTAAATGGACTTGACAGCTGTCTGATTAATGATTCTATCCCTACATGAGCCACCACCTGGTCGTTGAGGAGGAATGCGGCTGAGTAGGGCGTCAGGATGGCGGTGTAGATGACCAGCAGCAGGATGAGCCAGTCCCACACCGCCTTGAACGGGCTGTAGTGCAACACCGTCCACTTGTGGATGCGAGGAGCGTGGAGCTTGTACTCGGGCAACACATCTGCACCCAGAGACAGCACCTGGGTAGAGAGAGGCAATCAGATATTGAGAAGTAAGAAAGGCAAGTCTTAAGGCAAAAGAAGAGGGAGGATAGAAGGGTTTAGAAAGCAGAAAGGCAGATACAATACATAATGACTTAATAAAGGAGAAGAGGGGTAGACTAAATCACAAAGAGACTGTGTACACAAAGAGTTAATATGATGACACACACAGCATAAGTGAATATAGAGGCTCTAACAACTGCATTTTGCAATTACAGAGATAGAGCCAGTGTCCTCTTAAGATGACAAGAATTGTTCTGAAGGCACTGACCCTTTTAAGGTTAACCTCCCAGGCAGCATGACATCCACATCAGTTGACTGGTGGAGATAATAAAGCCCTTTTATGTATAACAACTCAGTTTTAAGAGACAGATAGGACTTTGAATAAACCCAATTAACCTTTAAATTGATTTTAAATATTGTCATATTAGACCGTTATGTTAACGAAGACCCTTATTGTATTGTGGTGATTCCCTGCTATAACCAACATCAGTTCTTGCTTGTCTGGTCATCAGTCTGGTCTTCAGCATGGACACAAATATTTGTGGATTATGTTAAAGTGACTGACTTCACTCTGTTGGCCAGTAAGCCACATATTGATCGGGATTGTAGTCCTTCATTTGGGAAAAGGTTACACTTTTTAACCAATAGTGACGTAAATAGCCCCACACACCTATCAGGCTGCACTTCAAAGTCTCAAATACTCTACATAGCCAATGCACATACTGTTTAGGTGTGTGTTATATTGGGAAATGTTGTCTTTATTTGCTCAGCCAATGATTGGAAAGTTGCCCAAGTAAGTTGCTGTTTACTTACGATCATATTCAATAACAATTTATTAAATGTCAGAAATTAATAGTTGGAAAAAGTGGGTCTTTTCACCTTCTTATCTGTTTTTATTTTTTCAAAGATGCCAGAACTTCTCGAAAATGATTCAACATGCAACCATTATGTGCAACCATGTATGGTTTCCCAGGCAATTGCTGTTGGCTTGGAGCAAAAACTCAGCATCGCAGACACATTTATATGCAGGCAGAGTTGACCTATTGGCCTGGCTGGCAGTGAAGTAGATCAGACTGACAGAGTTCCATCACATTCGATAAGGGACAAGGTAAAAGTATAAAAGATTCAGTTTGACTGTTTTGTTGTTCAAATATTATACCGAGTCCTGTATTCCCAGAAGGTACAGTATCACAATTCTTTCATCACTTCATCTCACCTCATTTAGCTTTAATTACTCATTAATCCAGTTGAGCAAAATGTTCCTGTCTCTCCTGTCCTAACCTTGACTTTTTTGGTCTAATTTATAGATGTCCTGTGTCCAACAATCCTCGTTCAATCTTTCCAATTCCTTCTCGTCTTCCACACAGTGTGCTGCTAAGTCACTTCTCATTCATCCCGTTTCTTATTACCATTCATCCTGCCTCCCATCTTATCCTCCTTTCTTTTCCTTTCTGCACTGTTCTAATCCTTTCGACTTCCATTACCACCCCTTCTTTAACAGTCCATTTCTTTTTTCAACTACTGTGTGCTTGAATGGGAGAACATCTGCTATAGTAGGATCCCATATGCCTCATGTTCTCCTCAGGAGTTCTTCATATAGATACACAAAGCTGGCAGGATAACATCTGCTTGATGTATTAAAAATAGCAAGCAGTATTTCAGTGTATACCCTCTCAGTAATTGAGCCAGATGTTAAATATCTAAGCCAGCTCTTTAAAAATCTGGCTCCTTCAAAGGCTTTTTTTCCCAAGTATTTATGAATTTCTGTTTGAAAGTCCCTGCTTTTAGAAAATTACAGTTATAACAGCACTGGTATTTTGTTTTTAGAGTTAGTATAGAATTCTTCTGATCTGCTTTTGTTTATTCCATGGGGAAAATAGTGTTGCTATCCTGGCTTGAGTAGGTTTTCAATAAGCCAGTATAACACAGTTCATTTTAAAACTCAGTACCTTCCTAAAGGAAAAACCAAACAATCTATGTTTTCCTAAAAAAACATTTCCTTCTAGGCCAACTTGAAATGTGACCCTTCAGTACCACATTACACTTGTTCAAACATATTTGCCTTTGAAAGAATGATGGCATTTTCAAAAAGGTGCAAGAGTATACGTAAGGGTAGAAGGAGAATTACATAAGTATTATATATAACAGCTTACAAGATATTGTGATAACAAATACGACTGGGATGGACAATGTTCCTGTGTCGCAGTTTGGTCTTCTGTTTCGCAAACCCCTCCTCCAAATACTCATTATATTATGGGACAGAGCTCAAGTTTTAGGTTATAAATAATAAATAATAGACAGAGTCAATCATCATCAATTGGTCCTTTTTATTTAGCTAACTTGTCTGGAGTTGTTTGTAAAGTGCTCTTGTACTTGATGTAATACAACTCAGACATTTCAGCTCTAGTGTATGATCCTAGGAAATGAAAGGACAACAAGTTCCAGAAATCTCTAGCATTATCTCAAGTATCATGAACACATCTGTATCCAGACAAAACCCATGTTAGACTAACTCTGTGTTCACACACGCACTAGCACACAGTTGAGTGGAGTGACCGTCTCAGCTGTTTTCCCTCCTGGAGTATCATGTGGGTTATTTTTAGGCAAATGTGTGAAACATTGCCACAAGGACTGTTTAAAGTGCAGATGTCAAGACACATTGAAGTGCAGTGAGGACAGTGTTGTGCGTGAGGACGGCACTGGAGGGAGAAGACATGAGACAATATATTTTTTCTCAATTCTCTCACTGCACCCCTTTCGCCTAGAATCTTTCTACAGAGTGGAATTCCCGATGCTGGAGACAGCAGCGTCATCACAGAATCCTGCATCATCTTGAGTTGGACATTTATCTCTAGAACTGAAGGGTTTGCCTGGACTGCATTTAAAAAATAATTGGTTTAGGTTTAGAGTGCTCATTTTTTCCTTTAACTGCTTGGTTTTAAACTATTTAAGTCTATACATTAGACAGGGAGTTCTACTATAGTACAGGCTTCATGTACACAGGAATGTTTTATTTATTTTTTTCGAAAGTGAAATACAAGTCAGTCAGTTCTAATCAAAAATGACTGTATGGTTTGAAATGACAGCAGAACAAATCAGAGGACAAGAAGAGATGACAAGACATGAATCAAATTGAAATAAAAAATGACAGATAGATGGTTTGCTCCCATCAAACCTGTCATATTGTCTGGACTTTCTGCAGCTTTACTTTTTGGTAAGATGGTAGCAGAATATAAGAAAATAACAATGCAAGTTTATTCTCACAGACTGTATAACATTTGGACTTAAATAGACATTTATAGAGTGTAGCTGTTATTTTTCTATTTTCTATTTTATATGGTTTCGGGGTTGTTTCTGGGCGTAACCCTCTATAAAAGCGTTGACACAGCGCTGAATAAAGCCGCAAGGGAAACCAAGAGGACAAAGCTTGTTTCAAAACTAGAGTGAATCAGAGTTTGCATTTCCCATGATGGCGATAACCCTTACACCTGTTGAGATGAGGAAGAATGTTGTGCTTAAAAGCTGAAAACTCATTATGCTACACTGTGTGCCTTTAATGACCATAGAGAAGTAAGAAACACATTAGTTCCTGAAGACAGAAATCTTTGATCCTACCACCCTGTCTGTCTCAAAGTTTCAAAGTGGCCGAAGAGTAAACACAACAGAATGAAATTAAAAGATAGAACGATAACATACTGTATGTAGAGAGATGAGAAAGGAAATGACAAAGATGAGATTTATTCTTAAAAAGCTTTCTGCTCTAAGTATTGGATTTCTTTATGCAAATAGGCACAATAATTACAAAAGAGCACAACAAAGGGAAGGGCACAGTTTGGTTTGAGTAATAAATAGAGGATTCTGCAGGTATTTCACCTTTTTGTGGGCACCAACATTTATTCACACATACGCTCAGCCGTAGGAGGTGTTCTGTACACCTGCAGTCCTGTAAAACATGATGACTGACAGCAAAAGCCACACCATTACCAACCTTCAATCAAATCCTCTATCAGTGCAGAAGACTGAGTCTCAGGACACCTGAGCTACCGAGGCATGAATAACAGTCTGGCAAACAAAGTTGGAAAATCAAAAGACAAAAATGTCTTTTAAGAGAGAATGTACGACAAAAGAAGAGGTTGTTCCAGTGAAAAAAAAAACGATTGATATCATCCAAGTTAATGAGCATTTACAGACAACTTGCTACTAAGATATAACAGAACTTACTGGTGAAAGTTGCGTCTAGAACAATATCTTCCTTTGGTTGCGTCTGATCACACTTAAAACTGTTTTTGTGAACCCTCCCTAGAACAAGACGACCTAACAACAGCTTTCAGTTCAGCTGTCTGTAGTCACACATTGGCTTTTATCAAACTTGACACCCTGCCTGTTAAAAGACTTTGAGCGGGTCTGAGAAAATAAATGATACATGGTTGGAGGTTAATTGCAGCTGAAGGAAGTCAGGCAGCAAACACCATCCATCTGCTCGGGAAGGGCGTTGATGGTTTGGGAGGATTCCATTTCTCACATTGTGTTAGATTCATTTGGCAGAGACGCTTGTGTGGATGGCGGTAAAACAATTACAGTCCAAACAAGCAGACAAATGGATACAGAAACTGGAGACAAGAGGACGAAAGACTCCTCTGAACTCAGTTATAATATATTTTTAGCCAGACATTAATTACAATTTTTTTGTTCAAATGGCTATTTGTTCCACTTTACCGTGAGGAAGTTGGAACAAGGACATTTTCAATTAAATGTTTGTAAGTGCTTGTCATATGAAAAGCTTGTTTAACTTCTTATGGAGCCTTATCAGCCACAGGAGTTGGAATTGTTAGATATTCTGAAATGTGTAGAACAATGTTATTTTCAATTGTTAAGGTCTAGAAAACAACCCACATCCATACATGTAATTGATCTGTGGATATGACAGTCAAATGCATGTCTTAAAAAAAATGTTATCTGAGTTACTAATAAAACTG